ATACTATATAAGTAGTAGTAGTAGTAGTAGTATATATATATATATATATATATATATATATATATATATATATATATGGAAAAGTCTTTCCAACGTCTATAGGTGAAAATGAACAGTGATTTCACGTTGCAAAAAGAGCCAAGACACCGAATTTTGAACTGCGGTTCAAAATTCAAAGCTAGCTTACTTAACAATCCAATTGACCTCTTCTTTGCAAAGTTTAAACATGCCGTTAAGGCTTTAAGGTTTGCCCTCTACAAAAGAAAGGTACTGGTATTGTATTGTAAGCAATGTTGTCAGATTTGCTTCGGAATCTTTTTTTTTATTTGGTAAGAAAAATGAAGTTATTCGGTGCTTTGGTGGATTTGAAAAAAGACTTCAGACCTTTTTTATTTAATATAAATAAATTAGATATTTATATATATGACATATAAAAATAATAGAGAAAAATAAAAAAATATTTTAATATAGATATATCTTTGTTTCGGCCGAATCAGCTTGAAGCATACCCGAATCTGACCGAATCAACAAGATGCTTCACTTCGGTCTAGGCCTAAAATCTGAAGGCTTAGGCTTAGGCTTAGGCTTCGGCTTCGGCTTCGGCTTCTTCCGCCAAAACGAAGCGAATTTATTATAAGGATTTGTGAGCAACAAACCAACTTTAGTTTATTTCTCATAATGGAAGAGATCGATTAAAACCCCCCAAGTTGTTGAGCTTATCAAACCACTAAATGATCAACCACAAGAGTTGCCAGAAATCCATTATCTCTCCAAAACAGAATACATGTTGCATTTATGCTTGAAAGTGATAGAGATGCCCACAACTTTGCTTTTTCATATGCTACACGATAAAGATAAAGCAAGGAAGGGATAGATGCTAGGAATCACTCCTTTGGACCTCCCACTCCCCTGGAGCTACTACCCGGCGAGTCCCAAATTGACTCGCCAAATCTCAACCCTAACTGTGTACTTCCTGAATAATATATATTAATTTTTTGAAGACTGGAACAGATTCGGATTAGACTTTAATCCTCTCGATCTTGTTGCTCATAGCATGAAAGGGCGTTGTCTTTGCACCACTTGGCCAAGTGAGTCAACAATTTACCCGAGGTGTAGATCCGATTCGGGTCTGGGTATGGGTCCAAAAACTGGATCCGTCTGGCTGAATCCGAATCCAAATCTTGGATCCGAATACTATTTTGGTTCAAATCTAAATCCAAATCTGATAATATTTTGTGATTTTTAATATATGAAATATATTTAACTATAGTTAAATCTTTTAATTTTTGGATTGGACCCTATCAAGTCTAAGCTCGGATTCCACGCTCTATTTTTTTAGGTCCGAGTTTTGATCCGATCAGTCCCGCCACCCTTTCTGAAAGGTCGGTGTTTGGAACCGCTCCTCGACGGCAAATAAGTTTCTCTTAGTCCCCGAAAAGAAGATAGGTTAAGGCTTACTTTATTAGAGTTATCAAATTACAAAAATGCCCTTAATTAGCATGACAGCACAACTCTCTTAAAGGTCATAGAGAGCAAACAGCATCCTCGATGAGAACTTTAGCAAAACAGTTACTCAGGGGATGAACCTTTTTTAAATATGAAAGCACTGGAGCTTTATATTTATATATATATATATATATATATGAAAGCACATGAGAATCCCCGGAAGATACTACAAAACACCTACACATCCATTTCGCCTGCCCATTTGCGCACCATCATAGTTATTCAGTTAGTTTTTTTTTTTTTTTAACTAATCGAAATGATCTAAAAATTGGAATGTGTGTAAATATTAGTGATACGCACCTAATAAAAATATGAAAAAAATAATTTACAAAATATAAATTGATCAAAATACCCTTATAACTTTTTAAAGGTATTTTAATCGATTTATATTTACCATTTTTTTTTTTATATTTCTATTATGTGCGTCTCACTAAGATTTACACACGCTCCAAATTTCAAGTAATTTAGATTTATAGAAAAAAAATAAAAATTAAAAAATTATCATACAACTGTGATCGTGCGATGAAGTTTTGATAATGATGAAGGTAGACGAAAGCACTGTCCATTTTTTCCTATAAACATTGAGAAGAATTTTCTGGGAATCACCATATCAATATTT